TGTATAGATAAGATGTCACACAAAATGTCCTCAGACATTTTGGCCAATAGTTCTTCCTTAGCAAGCGACAAACCTTCTATATGAATAGAGACATTAGTTAGCAATGGTCTTGATAAAGACCTTTGGTGTTCAACTGTTCATCCATATGTGGAGGGGGAAAAACACACCTCCAATTTAAAATATTTAAAAGCAATGCTTTTGGATTTGGAAAGATTAGCCATTTAAATTGACTTGATGAAGTTTGTCAACTTCTCTCTGTTATGTCATGGATCTTCACACCTCTTGAAAAAACTTATTCAGTTCACATACCACCTTTTCTATTCCTTTCACCTAGCATTATCACATCCCTCTTCCTATTATAGGCACAGACTGCTCTTCTGAATAAAGGAGAGTGTTCTCTTGACTGTGTTCTCTGTTGCATTTTGTTGATTGGAATTTCACTCTCCAAGCTTCAGTTAGCTCTACTAAAATAAATAAATAAATCACATGCTGTTTCCCTCCCACAGGGCTAATGCCAACTTCAGGCTGAGGGCAATTTTTATTTGAAATCTGGGAAGGAGAAAAATGGAAATTTGAGCATATTTTTTTCCTAGTCTTGGTTGCATTCAATACAACATTCTGCAAATTCATGTTTCTTTTTACAAAATCAACAAGTTAAATTGCTGGAAGAGTAGACATTGGACAATACCTTTGAATCTACACTCCAAGGTACCTGAACAAAACTAATTGGCCATCCATCCATGACATTAATTAGTACTCCAGTGTATATCACTATCCCTGCCTAATGTATTTTTCTGCTTCTACTGGATTACTGTTATCTTTTCAAATGAAAATGAAAGGCCCATTTCCAATAGATTATTATGACTATGTATCATAAGCCAGGTGACATTTTCTACCAAAATAATTACTCATTCTCCAAAGAGGTTAAAGCAAGTCATCACCATCTTGGGAATATGAGCTCATCTTTGAGTCTATCTTTCTAATTAGCAATGCAAACAACTCCTCACCTTTCTTGCCTCCCATGAGGTCCACTTGCTAGCAGTCATTAAGCACACAGACTGAGCCCCCAATAGAATCAATTCATTTAATAGGAACCAAAACAGCAGTGATTATAGATCTTCCTTTGCAATGAATGTTTCATACAGCAGTTCTTTCTTTGTCAGAGGACCCCTTGAGTTCAGTAAAACCATTGTAGTAGTAGATGTATTCCTTTTATAGATTGTTGAACCATGCATCTCCATATCATAGCTGCCATCAGTCAGGAGAACTTCTACAGACTAAGTGGTCTGCAAAAATAATTGTACAGTGGTTCATGAGTGTTTCTCTTCCTTGTCATCTCCCTCTTCCCTGCCATCTTCCCCAGCTATAACACTGAGATTGAGAATAAGATGTTTTAGAGAAATTATGAGAAATGTTGTTCCAAGAAGTACCAAACTCCCATCTAGAGGGATAGCATCTGTGTTCCATGTCTGAAAGAGTTATAAAAAGGAATTGCCTATGTAATTCCTTTTGTAAAAGCTGGTGCTCTGACAGCTGGAATTTTTCCATTGAAGGAAAAATGTATCTATAGCATCCATTTCTAAGGGTAGCTTGAGGACTTGATTACTTTGAGGGACATATCTAGATGGACTCTTTGACCTCATCCTTCTCCCATGGGCAGATATCCCCCATTTCATTTCTGGGCACTTTTAAATAGGAAAGGTTGTAGGCCACGGAGCAACATGCTCAGTTTTGCGTCTGGAGGCTAGAGAGGCTTCTTGTTTGTCTCCTAGCTGTGTGTGCCAGTCAGTAAAGTTGAACTGGTCTGGACAGCTGAGGAGAGTGAGAAATAACAAGTGCTTTTGAGAACGTTTGTCCTTGCTTATGTGCCTCCTGTTTGTGATGCAGCTGGTCCAAATTAGCTTTGAGAAGATGTTGTGCAGCTGTTTCTCTGAAGCATCACCACCAGGCAAACAACAGCACAGCCCAACAGCTCCCTGGTTTCTGTAGCTTGTTTTCTCCCTTCTCTGTCATATTCTATCTCTACACATTAAGTCTTGATTTTAAAAGTATTGTCCCTGGGCATGTGCTCAGAAGTTTGTAGGAACAACTTTACCATGCCATGAAATGTAGCCCCTTTTCTCTCTTTTTAAAACTTTCCAGTTGCCCCTAAGGGCTTGTGAAGATTTTTTTTCTTATGGGAACTTGTCCTTCTTTTCTTCTGCAGTCTTTTGAAAATGCATTCAAAGTTATTGTCAGCTTCTGCAGACAAGAATACTTATAGTATATTGATGTATATAAAATATGTATTTCTTTGGCATTAATAATTATGTTCTGTACAAAGTACATAGTAGATCCTATAGATAAAAAACAAATAGCTATACTAGGTCAGATTTATGGCCTTTCATAATGGTGGTCATGGTTTTTCTGCTCTCAACTACCAAATTTTTCTCCAAATTTGCTCAAGACCCCTGTCAAATTCAATATTTGCTGTCCATCTCATGCCAACATTTTTGCAAGATTGCTTTATTGCTTGGCTCCATATACTTTCCACTTTTCTTCAAGGATTGGTATGAATTGAGAGATAATCAATTTTATCAGAAGTCAGGGCATTCAAATGACAGCTGTAAGGTATTCTCTGTAACAGTCAATTTTGGCATAGGGCTGGGGTACAATTTTATGGATGATTCCAGGCTATAACATACCTGACTGATTCAAGAAACTTGAGCAGAATGTGAAAACTGAGAGGAATGTTTGGAATCTTGCTTATTTATTGGCTTGGCATGTGGATGATATTAGCACTCAGTGTAAGAATGTTGGAGGATACTCATGCTAGCATACATCGCTATAAGAAGTTTTGGGAGTGCTTTGATATTGTATTCTTGAATGGTAGGATTGGATGGTTGTTGTAGTTCTTTCCTACCTCTATAATTCTATAAGTGCTTTTAATGTGTTTCTCCCAAGGAAGGTCAGGGACATATTATGTGTAGTCCTTCATAAATTGTTAAATCCAACAAAACTGGCAGCATAGCCAGTGGTTATGGTGATAGGAGTTGCAATTCAATAACTTGCAGAAGAACATAACTTTCTTAGATGGTATTTGAAATTATTTTGGGCTTCTAAATGCCACATGACCTTGGAGGTATCAAGGGAAACCTTTTCCTTTACCTTTACTGGGCTTCTAAAACTGTTTTGTTTACAACATTTTTGTTGTATTTTTATTCTGTTGTGATTTTATTGGATTTTATCTAATTGTATGCCCCTTTGTGGGCCTCTTGAGTGGAAATGCAATTTATAAAGTAAAATAGAGATAGACAAGTGCTGTGGTTCATTTTCCAGATAATTCCCAATGTTTTGGTCATAAGAACCTTTTCTAGAAGATGAGCAAACATGGTCATCCTTATTACATTATGCATTCATCTAGGTTCAGACTGGAGGGAAGCTATCTGAATTCTAAATCTTTTAAAAATAACAGACCATGGAGCTATGCATCCCAATTCAATTCCTCTGAATTTGGGGATGACCTAATGTCACTACCGCTAACATCTCATTTGCCATTCAGAGAGACAACTTCTCATCAATACAGAAAGTCTACAGTTAAGCATCTCCAAGGTCACAAGACTGGAAATTATGTAAATCCAGGATAGAGGAGAGAAGACTTATGATCTGTATTAACAAAAGTTTTTTGAGAAAACCAAATGAACCTTGAATAAGCCTGACCTCCCCCAGATTAACTAATGTGACCCTTTTGACAAACAGCAATTCACACAACATACACTGAATAGCTTGGTTTCACTGGAGCATGAAGAGCAGAGGATGAACATGCCTTATGTATGCAACCATGGTGGACATTTTAAACATTTATGAAGATAATAAGTGATGCAAGTTATAACACAGTTAAATTAAGCATTTATATAAACCTCTTTGGTTTTATTAGGATGTTATGTGGACTTAATTGTGCAGTAGATACAGGCACAATGAAAGGACAAATAAGATAACCAAGAGGTGAGGGATAATCTTTCTCATAAAGGACCACAATACCAGGGCTTGTTTCCAAAGCAGAACTTTAAGGGAATAGATCTAGAGATTTATAAAATCATGGTATGGATTAAATTAACACGCAGAAGTGATACATAATTCAAGAACTTAGGGATATCTTCTTAAACCAAGAGGCAGCAAATTTAAGATAAAGGAAGAGTAATCTTCACAGGACTTGGAAATCTGTTGTGATGGTACTGCCTAGTACACTGGATTTATGAAATATGCAGTAAATCCCTTTAAGAAGCCAGTCTGTTGGTGGCTACTTAACTAGACAACCCGCCACACACAGACAACATAACTCTCAGCTGAAAATGCTAGATACAGAGAGTTGGGAAGGAGTATCACTGTCAATTTGCTCAGCTTGTGTTTGATTCTCAAATAACTTGGTTGACCATTATGAAATAATCAAATAATTAACTTAAATGGATTCTATGGAAATATCCTAATTGCTACAATCCAAAATCTTATTAATTAAAGATAGAAGTTCAGTTTTTTTATAAAAAGGCTAGCCACTGATTGCTTATGAAAATAACACTGATTCATTCTGAAAATATGCTGGAACACTTCATAATGTGCCCCCTGGTGGAGCAGTGGGTTAAATCACTGAGCTGCTGAACTTGTTGATCGGAAGTTTGGTGGTTCAGATCCAGAGAGCGGGGTGAGCTCCCGCTGTGAGGCTCAGCTTCTGCCAACCTGGCAGTTTGAAAACATGCAAATGTGAGTAGATCAATAGGTACTGCTTCTATGGGAAGATAACGACAATCCATGCAGTCATGCTGGTCACATGACCATGGAGGTGTCTACAGACAACGCTGGCTCTTTGGCTTAGAAAAGGGGATGAGCACCACCCCCCAGAGTCAGATATGACTAGACTTAATGTCAGGGGAAACCTTTGCCTTTACCTAACTAATAATACTACAAAGTTCTTCTCTGACTGATGTTTTATGTCTTTACTGTATTTCAAAAAGAAAATGCAAAGGTGAATCAAAACAATCGTTTATTTACAACACTACAGTAATGGACAGAGCACAACAAATGGGAAACAACAATCTATTATCGACAGTAGCATCTCTATATTAAGTAGATTATTCCAAATGTTATAATTGTAGTTTATTACAGAATTACCACATCAGTTTTGATCAAATGCCATTATTAGATCATTTTAAATAGCCTATTTAGTACTTTTAGATTCAGTTCTCCCCACAGCATTGGTCCTACGGATGACAGAGGATGTTATCTTTTGCATTCTTAAAAAGGAGTTTATAAATATGGTTTTGAGGACTGATCTGAGATTTGCTTTGTAATTTTTTTCAGATTATGATTTCAGCAATTTGCCTGCAGAGCTAAGGTGGACCCCTGCCTTTCCAAATTTACTCCAGGTTCTTCAAAGAACACCTCGATACTTTATTTTAATGTGAAAGTTTCAGGATGGTGGAAAATACTGTCATGTACTTAGCTTTCCATGTTACATGCCTGCCTTCTATGTAACAAGCATTTCATTTCAAACTCACACCACAAAATATGGGTGAATTTTAACCTGGAAATAAGGAAGGGTACATCTACACTATAGAACGAGTGCAGTTTGACACCAAGTTAACTGCCGTTACTCAATGTTATGGAATTATGGAGGTTGTAGTCTTCCAAGGTCTTTAGCCTGCTCTGCCAAGGATTGCTAGTGCCTCATCAAATTACTGTTTCCAAAATTCCATAGTATTGAGCCATGGCAGTTAAAGTTGTGTCAAGCTGCATTTGTTCTAGAGTGTAGATGCACCCCTAGTCAGCCTCACTTCTGACTAAGCATGTATAGGATTCCCTTGTAGCGAACTGCAATGAATATTTTCCAGTGAATTCCTTCTAGAGAATACAATACACATTCCACCACATCATAACAATAAGCTTACATTAGAAAGAAGCAATTTATGCCTATTTTTACCAATATAGTATAGGCAGATGTATATGCATGAATGTGAACACATAGAGGTACATCCATTTCGCATATCACAGTTCTCTATACTTTCAACATACATGTTTCAAGCTATCTAGATGAAACTCTACAGCTAGACATTGAAGGGCAGTAGGAAGTAGTATAAATTCAATTCTAACTGGGGAGTGGGGGGAGCCTGCAGTACCTTTGCTGCCCATCGAGTGCCTCCCTGCAGTATGCTCTGTGGACTGGCTTGTCCTGTGACTGGTGAGAGCTCAAGCAGAACAGCCTGGAGGCATGTCAGGTCAGGTCTGCTGGATCCCAGGCTTCCTCACTCCTCTGACATATATCTCCTCAAAGGCCCACAACTACATTAGATAACTCTGGGGCTAGCATGGTATTTTCTCTCTCTTCTGTATAAAATGGGAGGGCCAATTTGCCCTCATTTCCCACATTGGTAACAGTAAGACAATTCCAGCATGGATTCTTTTTTCAATGGTCACCACTGCTCAGCAGCTTAAAGATCATGGGGAAAAGAAGGAAAATTAAAAAGCAAGCAAAGCTGTCTACAAGTAATTTTCCCAATGTCAGTGAGTGGCGGGATGGGTAATATTTCAGCCACCAAAGGTTGCTGGACAGCAATTGTTATAGGTTGGGTATTCCATTGCCACAATTGCAAAATCTGAAATACTCCAAAATCAAAAATTATTCACATAAGTGGCTGAGATAATAACACTTTAGCTTTCTGATGGTCCAATGTCCAAAAACTCTATTTAGTGCACAGACCCAAGAAAAACAAAATATAAAATTACCTTCAAGCTATGTGTGTAAGGTATATAAGAAGAAAAGATTGAATTGTGTGTTAGTATTCATCTCTAAGATATATTATTATGTATGTCCATCCATACACAGGTATTTCAAAATCTTAAATCCAAAACACTTCTGGACCCAAGTATTTCAGCAAAGGGATCTTTATCGTTTGTCATGCTGGCAAGGACTGATGGAAGAGACAGTCCCAACAACATTAGGTAGACCACATTTTCTTCCCACTGCTGCAATGGTCTTGTTAGTTTTGTCAACATAAATTAGGGCTTGAAAACACCACTTTCTCAGGGCTAAATCTAGCATGAATACTAATTAAAGGGCTAGTCCTATTTAGATGATCCCATTGAAAGTTATGGGATTTATCAATCTCAACTAGCATAAGTTCTGCTGAAGTTAGCCATTTGTTTATGCTACTTTGTTCAACTGCCTGCTGTTCTCAACAAAGTAGCAACAACCAAAACTATCTCAAGCAAAAGATTAATACATTAAACATATATGAACAATAAGTTATCAGAACGGTTTCTAAGTGCATCATAGTTTATGAAAATACAGTGTAAAGTAGAAACATGAATTGATGAAATGTTATGAAAATACATATTTAAAGAGAACATGGGGTCAAATGTTTACTGTTTTCTACACAACATAAAGCCTCAAAATAAAACCAAAAAGCAACTGTATTGTCAGTGCAAAACAATGCAGAAGTATCATCTGAGGTTGTGGCCATTTATTCCAAATAGAGATCGAAATAACAGAATCATTCAATATCTCTGAAATTGTAAAACCTGTGAGGGAACAGCGGTGTGTCCATAGCAATCTCTCCTTTGTTGTACCAAAGAAAATGTAACCAAGGATATTTGTGCAGTTTATCCGACTACTAAAATGACAACTCAGTACTTTGGGTCTTTTCCTGATTCATTCAATATCTCTGAAATTTTAAAACTTGTGAGGGAACTCCGTCTTAGGGAGGCAGTGGTAAGAGAAAATGAGAAAAGTAGTTATCACAGTTCTCTCTATATAGAACTGTGATACTACTTTAAATACTTTTCTCATTTTCTCTCACTACTGCCTCTGATTTCTAAGGTGTGTAAAAATTTCAGCCCAACAGCTGGAAGTTCATAAATTTTTCATCCCTAAGATGGAGTTCCCTCACAAGTTTTAAAATTTCAGAGATATTGAATGAATCTGTTATCTTGATCTGTACTTGGCATCAAATAATGAAGAATGTTTTGCTACACAAGTGTATATAAGTGTTATATTTTTGAGCCAATGATTTGCTGAAGATTTAGGAGCTTCAAGGTCACCCACAAAGCTTCCACCTTCATTTCATGGCAGTTCTATATTTCCAAATATTTAGTTCCCTTTATGTATGAGAATCAGAGTTTGGAAATGTAATTTTTCAATCTACAGCTCACATAATCCCAAGCCACCATAAGCATGGGGGGACTTTGAGAGTTGTAGACCAAAAGCCCCCAATTTTTCATACTCTAATAAAAACAATGTGCAAGGCTTAATTTCTGTATCTAGTAAGCCTCACACGATCAAAAGCTGCCCAGTCTTAATTCTATTGAGATTAGAGTTGGGAAGGCCTAAAAAAAAAACCCAGAAAAATTGAGGGAAATGGGAAAAATTGGAAATAAACTGGAAAAATGGGGAAAAAACTGGAAAAAATGAGAAACACCTGTTTCTTCCCCCAATTCTTTCCAGTAGTTTTTCAGACCCTCCCATCTTTAATTGAGATAAACATTTGTTTATGTATAAAATCATTTATATCCCATATTTTGCTCAACAAAAAATACCAAACATGGTGTTCAGCACTAACAAGTAACAGCACATCATTTACTATAGTGTATCATAGACTATAAACATCTGTCTTCTTATGTTCTTCCTTTGGAGGGACTAGCATTGGAAATTTGAATAAGGTTTCTTCACTTGGATTGCAAAATATCTTCAATTGCTTCTTTTTAATATCATTTCCTTTGAATCTGCTTAATCATGATAGCTTCACCTAAATAAATAATACTCCCAAGGAGGAAACAGCATGTAGCTCATCACGGTATCATGGTTATGTGGGACTTTGTTTTTTCTCTATCCAGAAATATCAACAGTTAGTCATTTCATATAAAAATAGATATATCAAGATGCTTCTGTGTAATTGTCACATTTCATTAATTAATTTTTTGACAGGAAGTGATACATCATGTACCAGGAAATCTCAGCCATAGCAAAATTAAGTTCTGATCACAATTAGTGTAAGTGTGATTTTTTTTTTTACCAAAAGCATTTGAAATTTGTAAATAGCAGGCTCAACATTCAGTAAACATCACATAAACCTGTAAGCTAGTTTCTGGTTTCTGTGCTGGTTTCTTGATGCATTGAAAATTCACAAATTGTACTCAACTGCATGGTTATTAATGAGTAAAACAATCACATGGCATTTTCAGACACTGCTGCTGACTATACTGTAGCTTTCAAAGAAATGTACACTGGATGTGGGCAAGGCAGAGTAAACATGTCAGAGTTCTGCATACTACATAATCTATGCAAAATTTGCATCTTTGCTTTTCACAAAAATGCTTTGTATATAAAAGATGCATTGAATCTGAAGCTGCTCTAAAGTAACTGTTATTAGCATTGGTGTACTCAAAAGCAAATCATCTGTTACCAAAGTGTTTTCCAGCAGTAGTTTAAACAAAATTCCTGTCTGTTATATGTCTATCTTTTAAAAAAAATATGTGAAAAATTGTTAAGTAACTTAAGATTACAGTTATATAAAACTGCTATAATAAAATTATGAATAAGTGCACTGAAAACAGACCAGCCTTTATCGTCTCACATCTGCATACTTTTAGCAGATGTATAATTTGCAAAACTAACCTCTTTCAAGACTCTACCAGAAAGTTAAGCACGTGTTTGAATGTCTCATATTGAAATTGATTTGCAGTGCTTAACTTTGGTTGAATTGCACCCATTTCAAGAAGTAAAATTGCATCATTTACAAGACATGTCCTTGTATGACTTCTATAGCTGTAGCAGTAGAATGTGAAAAATAGATGAATAACTTAAGAACTTTTTCAAGAAGGGATAAAACAAAAACGATGGACGTTTTTACCATGAAGTTTTGGAAGCATGATAATCTTTACTTTCAAGATCTGTAGTCATAAAGAGAGGGCTTTGGGGAATGAGTGTAGCTTTCAAATGGCAAATGTCACTTTCTGGTTGTTTGTGCTCTGAATTATGACTCTCCCAAATGTAACATGGAAGGAAAAAATGAGAAAGAATTAGTTTAGAAGAAAAGAAAAAAGGGGACAAGGCAATGCTTTGAAATGATTTGTTCTGTCCTACATGCTGGCCCTGTTATTGCTCAGTCTGCCATAGTCTTTGTAATTAAAATTCTAATCAGGATTGACAACAACCAATTAAGTGTCAGAAGAACAATCTGATAGACACTTCCTTCTGTGTCTATAGGCATCTTCAGATAAGTTTCATCTGTCATATCTGATTGTCAGAGATCACTTTTCTGTGCTTATAACAGCCTGCATACAAATCAATGCTTCATTCAAAAAATTGCCCGGTATGCAGAGGGAAATCTGAGATTTCCCACATGACTATTGCCCGAGATATATTTATGAATTTGGAATAATCTGTGAGGTCTCTCAACCTAGTTAATTGCTACAATTTCAAAGGGACGGGAGTACAGTCCAATTACTCAGCTAATGTGATGTTGCCATCTCCCTAAAAATTGATACTGACGTAGGTACCTAATTTACAACAGATCTGTCTCTTTTATGGGTGGAAGGCTATCTGTGGACATGCTAGAAGGCTGTTCTCTGCTTTCAGTGCTCCTTGCTAGTCATACTGATGACAGCACTTCATTGGTTGGGTCTCGTCCCTTCTTATCATCACCTCTCTCCAGGTCAATGACATGGATGATTCCAGGCTTCAGGAGCAAATCATCCGTCTCTATGTGGCTCCGGGTGTCTTCTACCTCAATGTATTTCCCCTTGGACTGCTGGTTTGTTTTATTAAAGGCTTCTTTGAATTTACGCTTGACTTCATCATCGGGACAATAGACATACTCATAGAGGGCGCCCGCAAGAACTGCTCCAATAATTGGACCCACCCAATATATCTGTACAAAATGGAAAGAGAGAAACACACAGGAAGACATGGATGAGGAACAATGCTTCAGAGAAATGGCAGGCTCCTAAGAGCATTTTATCTGGAATAGCATGGTTTGCTCCCACTTCCTTCTTCCTTCCATGATTGTGAAGCAAAATATGGAACTTCACAATTTCCCTGGCTTAGTTTCTTTTCCCATGCCCACGTCACAGCCACTCATACTTTCCAAAAGGAGAGGCAATAGTAGCCAAAATTAAAAAAAAAAGCATTTCATGCTGACAGAAGGTCAGCAAAAAGGGACCAATCTGCTCTACCTTGAAGTGAATTCCAGAATTCCAGATCTACAGGCAGCCACTCAAAAGGCCTTATCTTGCATCCCCAATCAAGATTCAGTGCAACAATGGTGCAACTGAGAGACAGGGACTTTCTTGAGAATCTTAGGGCCTAGAAAAGCTGATATAGGAAGATACGCTTTGACTGATACCCTTGAATTTTAATTGGATGCTGGTCTGTTTATTACCTGTATTAACAATGTCCTCAATCACTTTCATCACTACAATGTACAATTGCTTTTGGTCAAAAAGACTGGCCGGATAAATGCCAATTGCTTCTTCAGTTTACGAACTTGTTCATCTCCACCAAAACTTTGTGTACAAGTCAGAGGAAGACAAAATGCTTACCTAGATTTAGGAAAAGACCCACTGCCAAATTCAGGGGTCACTTCCTTGCAGAAATGTCTGACATCTAGCTAACTGAGTGGCTTTGCTAGTTACTATATAAGATTAAGTACATTTTGGTGGACATTGATTCCATTGAATGACAATTCTCACAAACTGTCTTGATACTTTCAAACAATATTAAACCTTTATATCAAAGACAAGAAATGAGCAACACTCTTACTATTATTGGACTGCAACTCCCAACATACTTTACCATTTCCTGTGATGGATAGGATGGTGGGACATGCAGTTCAACAATATCTAGATTTCTACCCCTCCTTTGACCAGTTACACACTTCTATACATTTCTGACCAGATATATGGTTCATTATGTTTCTGAGGGAATACTCCCAGGTATAGGATTGCAGCATGAATACACTGATATAAGTTTGAATTTACAACCTCAAAAAAGCAAGATATATATGTATTAAATGCTTTAAGGTAACAGATTTATCATTTCCCATTTATACATGTATTTGTGTGCAATTTTAAAAGAGAAAATAATAAACATATTTGTTAAATGCTCCAGTAAGCTAAGAGATAAACAAGCACAACCACTTACCCAGTGATTTTCCCACTTCCCCATAATAACTGCAGGCCCAAATGATCTAGCAGGGTTCATGCTAGCACCTGTGTAACCGATCTGAAATAAAAATAAGAAAAATGATTAATATTATTGAAGGACGACTCTTTGCTTCTTATGGATTAAGCTTTGATAAGATTAAATTGCTATCCTGAACATATTCCATTTTTACTGAATTATTTTTGCTTTATCAGGATCATATATATTGCAACCCCCCCCCCTTTAAAAAAATGGTTCACTATTTTTTTCACAAGTACAGCTTTGATGGTTAGACTGCTCTGGATGTTCAAATCCCACAAGACAAACTCACTATATTATGTTCTCCAATGCAAGTGCTATTGATATAGTCAAATTGTCCTTATGTTGAAATTAAACCCAACCCATCAAGTATACCCAGGATAGTCCTAATGGACAATGTATTTCTAACAGTAATACATTTTATTATTCACATTATACTTTTCAAATTAATTATTAGAAATGGGCAACCAAAAAGATCAAGAAGCTAGGACAACTCTCCTCAAGAAGAAAACCTATATTGTATGCCTAAATTGTATGAAAATGCTCTGCTGAAGTTTTACATTATTTTAATGTTATGTTTGGGAACTAGCTTTTTTTCTTGAGAGAGTAGGATTTTTATCTGGGAGGCAATGCTTTTCTGCTCTTAACAGAGAACAAGAATTTTAAGTGCAAAATTTTAAAAGCCATGGAAGTAGGAGGTATCCAGTGTCAAATAGTCTATAGTAAATAAAGCTGTGAATCAGAACAGAGTCCAAGCAACCATGGTAGTAGGGCAGTTAAACAGTCCTAGAGTCATAAATGCAGTATTTATGAGTAGAGTTGTCAAGAGGTGAACTTAAGTTGCACCAGCAGTTTGGCTAGAGGAAGTTTCCTGCTTTTAAAGGCAGCATGCTCCACTGATGCCCTGATTCCAGGTAGTATTTAGGGCGTTTGTTTCATACCTAGGTTCTCCTTGATGCCTGGAAAGCAGCCTTTCATGCTCTATACAGGGATGGTCTGAGCAATAAACTGCCCATCTCAGAGATCCTCCTCCAGGTCCTCCTCTCTGAACCCTGGTGAAATGAAGGAGGATTTGGCTATCTAATAGATATTCACCCTAACACCCTCACTGGGATATCTGGATATGGTATTTGCTATGGCTATGAATTACTTTCTCAATAGGATTCCTACTGAGAAAGTAAAAGATTGTAACTACCTTCGGTTTACATTTGACTGTAAAGCACAACGTAGGGAAGGAGGTTGCAACTTACTGCAAACAAGTGTCCTATTGCAACAGACAGTCCAATCGCTAATGCCACTGAACCAGTGACATCACTTCTCTTAGAATCACAGCTGGCAAAAATAGTAAAAACCAACTGGAATGTAATTATTAGTTCCACCACTAGTCCATGGCCAGCAGAGAGTTCTGAATGTACCTGGAAAATGGAAGCAAAACATAAATGCAGAAAGCATAAAGAAAGTATGAATGTGACTTGTAGATGAACATATTATATCCTCCACATGGAGAAAAGCAATTTCAAATGCATGAGTGAACTTACAAAAAGGAAAAAGCAGACAGAATGGATGGACGCAAACCACCTAAACAACATATCCTTTCTGTTGCATGGCAAGGACTGGAAAGTACTGTTTCACATGAGCGTTAGCCTTTATTATATGAAGGTAATACTAAAAGATTCCTGCTAAATACACTGATCTTATGGTCTACTAAGGGTCCTATGGTACTGCAAAATTGCGGCTCCATGATTTCAGTTTAACTCCTAGATCTGCACTCTATGAAATCTTGGATTATGAACTTTGGTAATGCATGGGGCTTTTTGGCTGAGATTTCTAAATGCCTGGCTCTAGACTGCAAATCTTAATATTCTTTAGAATACTGCCATAGTAGTCAGTTATAATACTTGAATGGAATCACAGTTCCATTTTGTTACCCATCTTTACAAAATTCTGTATCAATACCAAGTGAGGAAAACCTTTTTCTTTACAAATATTTTGCCTTACAAATACCATAAGTCCCATCTACTGCAATAAATGGTGAGTGATGTTAAGAGTTAAGGCCCAGAATATTTCTCCAAAAGGAATTTTCCAGAATTTGGAATTTGAAGTCATCAGCATATGGATGACTATTTTTTCCATGATTACGAAAGGTTTGTTGAAGTCCCAAATCACTACCAGATATCTGTAATGAATGGGATGTGACAAAAACCTAGCTCAATCCAGGCAACTCATAGAGCTGTTCCAGGTTAGTAGAATTCCTCTTCTGGAAACTGAAATTCAAGATGGTACCATTCTCTTTGGAAACATACGCTCACAGTTTTGGATTACTGCGCCTCTGGATTTCCATCTAAGCTGTAGGAGCTGTTGAAATGGCTTTGCCATGACCATCTTAGATACGTTAATAAACAGTACCTGTTCCAAAGAGGTCAGATCTAGCCTTGGTAACAGATACATCATTTCACTGGGTTACTGTATGAGATATCATTGAATCCTGTCTGGAACTTGAGTGGTTGATCATGTTTCTGCCAAAAACCATTACAAAGAATATACAACTTCCTTGTTAAAGTATTTCATTGATTTCTAGTTTATTTATCTAGACTTGAAGACTTGGATGTTAGCTACTGATCAAGTCTGCCAGCCCTAAACTAATGTTTGTATCTAGAGCACTTTATTCCCAGCTCGGCCCTACAGTTTTATGTTTGCACTAGTCCTTGTCCTGCCCAAATAATCTCAAATCTGCACATGCCCACATTTCAGCTATTGGTTGTTTGTTGTGTGCCTTATGTTTATGATGCTTTATATTTTATTGAGTTTACTGTTTTTAATATAGTTGATTGTTATATTTTTAATTGCATTACTCTGTAACCTTTGTTTATATTGGGCTTGGTCCCCATGTAAGCTGCCCCATGTCCCTTTGGGGAGATGGAAGCGGGATATAAGAATAAAGTTATTATAGTTTATTTACAGTACCAGTTCAAAGTGTTTGACCTCTCAAATGTCAACAGGCAGACATTTGTTTACCTTCCCAAGTATTTTTTTTCTTTCTAGTTAGTCATTTCTTGTGATTTGAGGTTGCAAAACAAGAAACAAATGCCTGACTTGATGACATCTTCCCAGTAACCATTTGTTTGACTCAGCTACGTGTGCTCATACAAATTGTACAGGGGTAACATTGAGCCAACCGTTACTTCCTCCAAGCACCATTATTCTTAGGAAGGGATGAAATCTTCACTGTACTACCTGAATGGGGCCCAAGTTTTAGAATCTACAGTGCAGAGTTGTTGTAGACATGCACCCAAAGCATACAGGTGTTTGAAAAAGTGACCTTATTTAAATGCAGTTCCCCAAAATTCCCAGTTATCTCAGGATAGTTTTTGCTCCTTGTCATGCTCCCTTTCCTGGCTTGGTAATGGCAATGTCATGTAGCTGACATATCAACTTGAAGAACTGACAGCAGTGTGCATATTCTGAGCTGGGATATTTTGCATTGGGGTAGCAAACCACAAAACTGGACTTCTGCATATAATAATATATAATTAAATCCAAATTAACAGACTCAAGCTAAAATTGATGGGATGTGCACAGTGAAGCTCACAAACTGCTTCTAGTCCCCTGGGACCAATGTGGTCTCCAATCTCTACTCACAGCTTTCCTCCTAATTTTGAATGAAAAGTCCCGCTTAATTTCAGGATCTATGAAAGTAATTTTGCTACAGTTCCCCTGGCTTGTTTTAAGGTGGTGGTGATTTCCAAACACAAATTTCCTCTTTTTTAATTGAATTCTCACATTGTTCACTTTTTTTGCTTTAAGAAGACTGTAATTTAAATGTTCTATTATAAAACCATTAATTAGCTTGAACTCAATTAATTTCAGTTTCAATTAAAAACAGGCAGCATGCAGTTCATGTGCGTTTTAATATCCTGCAGCAAGGCTAACTGATGGGACTGCTTATTAGCAGAGAACAAAGCTAGAAAGTGAGGCATGGTCTGTATTAAAGAAGAGTAACATAGTCAGTGTGTAATATTGTCAGCCATCATCAAAATGACACCAATATTTAACACTGAGGGTTTCATCCATCTCCTGGTGGTGCAATGGGTTAAACCCTTGTGCTGGCAGGACTAAAGACCGACAGGTTGGAGGTTTGAATCCGGGGAGAACATGGATGAGCTCCCTCTGTCAGCTCCAGCTCCTCATGTGGGGACATGAGAGAAGCCTCCCACAAGGATGGTAAAACATCAAAACATCCGGGCATCTCCTGGGCAGCATCCTTGCAGACAGCCAATTCTCTCACACCAGAAGTGACTAGTTTCTCAAATTGCTCCTGACATAAAAAATAATAATCCTAAAATGACATTTCAAGCCTAAATGCTATTCCTGAATATTAAATCATTTTAAAAAGATAATATCTATGAAATAACAATTGTTGAGCATAAAGTATAAACTGCCAGTAAGCCAAACCACAACCACATAAAGTCACTTCCTTCTTTTGAGAGCAAATATAAGTGCTATCTACTATTCAACAATAGTTGATACAAATGCCTTTTATTTGTCTGCCATGAGATTTCTTCTTTTATGCAGTCACTTCATAGTGGAAATAAAAATACATAAGCCCTTTCTTATAAATGAAATCATGATTCGTATTGCAGCCTGCCTCTAAAAATCTGATATTTTATAGGCTGAGCTTCCTTTATCCAAAATTCTAAAATGCTCCAAAATCCAAAGCTGTTCACATAGGAAGCTGAAATAATAACACCTTTACTTTCTGATGGTTCAGAAACGTTGTTTTGTGAACAAAGGTATTAAAAACATCATATAAAATTACCTTCAGGCTATGTGTATATAGTGTATGTTTGATATTTAAACTTGAGTCCCATCTCCAAATGAGGAACATATATTCCTATATAACTTTCAAAGCAGCACTCTTGCCCTCTTAAGAGCAGCACTCTTAAGACTGGAGAAGAGTGGCAAGGCCCTGAGATCTGGTAACTATATTTAAGGGATAGTTATATAAATATTAATAACAAGTGAAAACACCACCAAATTTAAAGGCAAGGGGAAACCTTTACCTTTTTATTCTGTAATTTGTGCTATGCTCCTATGCACAAGGCCTTTAAAGCAAATTTAGGGCATATTAATTTACAGTTTATACTAAATGATTTTCATTTATGAGATTTAAATCACCCAGTGACTGTGTGATTATGTTCATGCAAACAATAGTGAACTCTATTAAAATGAAGGACTTCTGGACCAGGAATACCATAGAGTTGCACTGAAGTATCTCAAAAATGTCTAGAGAGATCCATGGGTCTCATGGATATTGGCATTGTAATGTATCTACAGCAACAATGAACATTTTGGCCAGAGTTTATCTGATTTGCATGTGAAACTACTCTGGTAAAAATTATCCATTGTATTAAAAATAGAATGAAGCAAGAGGGGTCTTTGTATTTTTCAGCCAAGGAAAAAAGTCAAAGCATTTGAGTCTCGGTTACTTAACCAGTAATTTTCTGCCAGTTCCATCAAGGAACTGTAATTCCCATTCAAACCTTTCAATGCCCTCTGAAGATGTTCACCCTTTGATCAGTACTCAACATTTTCTACTGTTCACACAACCTAATGTTCACACAATCTCATCTTCATAATACACTAGCATATCTAGCATTGCCTGAGCATCAGAGGAACCGCTACCCTCCTATTTTCATCCCATCTTTCTCTTTCCCTCCCCTTATACTTTACCCCTTTTCCTTTCTCTTCCTTCCTTCCTGCCTTTTTCTTTTTTTTCCTTCTCCCTCTCTTCCTTCTCCTTTCCTTTCTTTTTTCCCCCTTTCTTTTTCTTCCCCTCTCCTTTCTCCCTTCTCCAGCTTTGAGAGGGTCTACCTCCCAATGTCTCCATGGCAACATGACTCTTATTTGTGGTTCTTTCCTTCCTTCCTTCCCCTCATATACTTGTCACCTTTCTTTCACAGTGAGATCACAGAAGGCCACTTTGCCTAGCCTCAGGCAATTCATAGACATCATAAAGGGCCACTGGATTGTCACCTAGCAACAGCCTTTGTGGCATAGACAGACAGACAAACAGACTTTGACTTTTATATAGATAGGTATGTCAATAGCAAGCCACAACAGGCAGGTCATGGGATAAAAATCTAAGACTTTCTGAACTGTTAAGGTTGTCTTTGATTGTATTTCTTTTTAAAAACAACCAGGTAACTTTTGATTTTCTTTTTTGTCCTACCTTTGTGACTCCTAGACTCCCTACCAGCTTCCGGGGGGTAACAAGGTAGAGAATGCCTGCCCCTGAGATGGCACCAAGGCACTGGGCTGCAATGTAGAAGAATGACTTGGCCAGGCTGATCTTCCGAGTACAGACCATTGCAACAGTCACTGCAGGGTTAATATGGCCACCACTGATGTGTCCAATGCACTGCACCATTGTTGCAATGCTGAGTCCGAAGCAGAGAGAAATAAGGACCATGTCCACAGGCAGAGGTTTCTCAGCTCCACCCCAGTTGATTGTAGAGCCAAGGCTGAGGAGCACAAAAATGAGCATTGCCATAAATTCTGCTGAAACAGCTTTCCAGAAGGGCTGAGTCCAGATGCCTTTAAATGCCACCATGATGGCCTCGCACTTACACAGGCGTCCACACTTACTGTAAAGAAAAGAAAAGCAACATCATAAGCTCATCTGGCAGTCTTGAGGTTTGCTCAAAAAGATGATGGTATTATTCAAAAGGAATGGGAATAGTGGTAGGCTAAACATTTATTCATAAATAGCTAACAACACATGACATTCAAAAGAAGGTGAAAGATGATGTGGGGTTATAGTTCCAGCAATTGGCTGAGCCCACCCTGACAGCTCCATCTTAATTCATTATAACTTACCAACATGATGCCAAGGCAATATTTTCAAAAGTGAACATTAATTGACAACTATGAGAACTGTGGAAAATAGTTCCTCCTGTATCAGTGACAGAATGATAGACTCTCAGATGATGACTCTTTAAGGTCTTTCATTCTGAGGAAGATGAGAGGCAACTTAGCCTTAAGTAAGCTTCTCTTCCACAACCAACCAGCTCTGGTCTCTTCCACAGGAGGATTCAACCCCTATGCATACCTTAGGCTTTGCCTGCTGCAGATGGAGCCACTCTGGTGCCTAGGGGAGATGAGTTGACACAAGCTAGATCAATGGCCTCATATTAGACAAATGTTCAAGTCATGGCTATCCACAGTCCTGCGACACTCGTCTTGGGCTACCCCACTAATATTAAAGAAAATAGGGAAAGGCAAAGGAACTTCATAGAATAGTAATGTGGCATAGGAGTATATGTTAACTTGACTATATTTCCAGATCCACATTTGGATTAGAGCAGTTGGTATGATTATTCATTTATTTACAGTACTTATATTCCACCCTTCTCACCTCAAAGGGGACTCAGGGTGGAACACAGAGCACATATATGGCAAACATTCAATGCCAATTATACCATGACAGGTCAGATGACAGATAGAGGTATATATAGGCTTTTCTCATTATTCAGCATCTTTTGGTGGCTGTTCTTGGTTCCAGCTACAGGGGGTGCTGTCGCTCCATCTCCTTGCCGAAGAGCTTTCTTTGTTCATAAACATAGTCATGAGTTTGCTCCAGATTTTCTAATCATTGAATAATATATAAATATTTTTTTTTATCTTTCCAAACATGTAGTGTAAGTCTTTCAGGAATAGTAAATGCATGTAGGATCCAACCACACTGACCATTCATTAAATTGCATGTGATGGCACAGGATATACTTTGAATAAGTGTACCTGCTAATACCAAAGGTGTTTCCAACAAAAAAAATTAAGATATTGTGATATAGCCAAATAATATGATTGTGGGGTTAAGCCTTCCAAATCTCCAACTTTTCTGGCACTCGACAGTCTGTTAAAGTCTTGTTGGCACTGTCCACATTCATCTTTTTGGTACTGCTGGCTAGAGCTGATGGGAACTAAATAAAGGCCAAAAAAACTTGGAGGTCCCCAGCTGTCTGCCCTTGTGCTATGCCAATACAAGGAAGTCATATTTTTATTATGAACATCACTTCCCACTTGATGGCAGCCTTCTTGTTTTAGGCTCAGGGTCCCTAGCACAGAAAATAATAACCATTCTATTTCACACCAGTCTTCTTCAACCCATGACCCCCAAATAAAGTGACGGAACAGGGTATTAACCAGGCAGGAAGATGGAATAGTGAGGGCATTTGTAGATAAAAGTGGTATACAGATATATGGTGATATACATCTTTAGCCTAACTAGCACAACATATATACTCAAAACAATATTATGTGCTTCACAAATAGTTCTGAAGGACTTTGTCAATTATTAGACAACTCATTGAGCCTCACTATGGTATTAGTCTCCTGCTCTGCAGACTTAATTGGTAGTTGACAATCATCAAACTGATCCAGTAACTCTCACAAAATTAAACTGTAAACTGTGATGGAAAGGAGAATGTGTGCATATGCACCTATTTATCCAAATAACTATCAAAGTAAAACTCTCTTTTTGGTCTGAAGACCATGTGGCCATTATGGTATGATTTTCACCATTTCATTTGCTGTAGGTGTGGGTTGTATATATCCAAACAGCTGGATGATATGATTCACTCAGCAACAGAAGCCTCAATGCTGCCAAATGCCCTTTGGAGTTCAAGATGTGGGCAATTCATTTCAAGTGTAACTGGAAGGTACAACTTGTATAACTGATTGCCTTCTCTGGTGGTCTATCAGATTTCAGACCCAGTGAGTTTTTGAACACCACTAGAAAGGGAGACCTTGGCCAAGATTCTGCATGAAGCAAGCAGAGTGTAACATTCCATTCATGGAGCTCCGTGTCCTTTCATCACCTTGTAAAGGCCTGGGAGAGGCCATTGCAGCTTACCAGAGAGGCTATTCAGAGAAGATACAGCTAGTTTTGAATGTGAATGGAAAATAAATGAAATGGGTGTCCAGATTGGAATGCACCCACCTTCCCTTTCCCCTTAGAGCCAAGACCAATTGCTTTTTCTTTCTCTTTGTTCTTGCCTCTTCTCCATGTATAAGCAGTAGGCTTGACAGTTTTTAGGAGGAAGGTTTTGTACAGGGTGCAAAGGGCTAAAGAATAGTTCCATCTCAAAATGGGATATGCATAAGCCACAGTTACATATATACCAACAGGATGCATGACTGTATGTGGGAAAAATGAATGATCAGACTGCCAGTCAAATGTATGTCTTATTCTAATACTGATTATGTATAAATGCATTAGTGCCAATTCATTTATAGGCATAACTCAAATGATTTCTTTTAGTCTTAAATGGTCTGGGACCATGAGTCTAACTGAATATTAAGATCAGCTGCTCTTTAGCTACCAGTGACAGTCATTATACCTGTGAGAACTACGGTCATGGACTTTTCAGTGGGAACTCTGGATTTACATTTCTTTCTCCACCTGTTTGTGTCCAGTTTTGATATGACAACAGATAACAACAAACCCTTTAGAAATGAAGGACTACCCATGGAAGCATACCTTATAATTCCACTGGAGGATACCTCTGTAGCATTTCTAGCTCCTTCAGCGTGACTCTTTAGTCCAATTGTTCTGGATGAACAAGAAAACATCTAAAACTAACATATTCTGTCAGATGAAGGATCAGTCCCACAGATACAGGAGTTGGATGGGTGGGCTTATAGTACTTGAAAAAGTAATTAATAGTACTCAAAACAACTTTATCAACTGCTGGGTATTTCTATCATGAAACTGTATAATGTTTCCCTCTATTCAGGATAGCATGCCTTGAAACTGGGGTTGAAATCTATTTAAATAACTGTGTTCAAGTGTCAATATTGCACTAATTTTGAATTATTATAAAGAATATGTGTTGTCTGCATCCCAAACATCTGCATGTGCTCTGGTCTTCACTCTGAACTTTAAAGTTGCTATTCCATGCACTGAACCTATATTCAGAATTAAGTTCAGCACCTTGGACAGTCTCTTTAAACCTAGGGCAGGATGACATCACTATAACTGCTATGGCTCATTTCTATAGAATCATGGAAACCAACATGCTTTTGTAGGCCCCATTTACATTGACCATAGAATGTAAAGAAGGCTAAAGACTATATAAAACTACAATTTCCACTATTCCATAGCATTGAGCAGTGGCAGTTAAAATGGTGTCAAACTGCATTGACCCTATAGTGAAGATCAGTGGTCTACAAGAACTAAAATATGGACTGTGACCTTACTGTTACTACATCATTGCAATAAGAGTGCCTGGTCTCACAAAACCATCTTATAGTGCCGAGGCTTATTAAATACGGTTTTCTGTGGGTGAGCAGATGGCGACTACTGGATGGCATATGTTCTGTATCAGAAACTATAACTGATGTGATCTATCCAATGCAATTTTCTGAATCAGCACCCCAAATAACCAAACTGAAACTAAAGTTGACCAAAAACTGATTCGTAACCCTTTTGGTACTAATGTTGGAGGGTGGTCCTTGGTCAGGTGGCCCTGGTCAAAAAAAGGTTGGGAACTACTGGTGTAAATGCACTCCTACAGAAGATTCACAACCCCAATGATATGGGAGCCACCAATTACAATTAGCCTCTGTCTAAATGTATAACTGCAACTTCATTCAAACTCAGCTTCATTTTTAGCCAAACAGCCCTGTGAGGTAGTCTGGGTCCCTTTCATTCTGCACAATCCTGGCAATGTGATTCCACTTTAAGTGCAATTATTGCATCCAATTGAATTCTGGGTTTTGGTGTACAGGCAGTCCATGAGTTACAAACATACGACTTTACCCCTCGGAAGGGAAATTCACTCCTGAAAGACTTATAATGGGAAAAGGTGTCTCCACTGAACCTTTATCGCCAATCCTTGTTTCCATGACAAGCAATTTTTTTCAAAATCCAATTATCATAGGGATGGAAAGTGAAATGAAACCCTCAAACATGGGTCACAGGCAGCAAAACAATTCCATAGGGGTGTTAACCTTTCCCTATGCTATCCAAAGCTCCCCCTCCCCCAGATTTACACTTAAATAATTTACCTGTTCTGCTTAAGAACAAACTTACAGAACCTATCTTGTTTGTAACTTGGGGACTGCCTGTAGTTTGACAAGGCTCTAGAGAAGCTCTCTGGATGGGAGTGTGAAAAACTCCTTCAAAAGCAAATCTGAGACTGTGTTGATGAAAGCTTTCATGGCTGGAATCACTGGGTTGCTGTGATTTTTCCAGGCTGTATGGCCATGTGCCAAAAGCATTCTCTCCTGAGGTTTTGCCCATATCTATGGCAGTCACAATCTCTGAGGATGCCTGCCACAGATGTGTGCAAAATGTCAGGAGAGAATGCTTCTGGAAGACAGCCATACAGCCTGGAAAACTCATAGTAACCCAAATCTGAGACTTTCAATGCATTGAACCATAGCATTTAAAGTGGACCTATACCACTATAACTCTGTGGTGTAAAGTCAGTGAGATCTCCAATTGGATGGGACTTTTCTCCACCTGGATCCAGTGGTCTTGTTCCTGCACCTCTGTGCCTGAGAATTGTTAGAAGCAGGTGGCTTCTTCTAGCCTTCTTCTCTCTTTCAAATCCTCCCTATGGCAAGTGCCTGCTGCAATCCCAGAGACCTCCACCACTTAAGACTGCATCACCATGCCAGAAGAGAAGGAGTTTCCCCCTCACAGAGAGAAGACACCTGGCACCAGTAGTCGGCTGCAAAGTCCATGCCAGCAATTCCCCGACTCAAAATGCGCGTGTTTGCTCCAGCACAATTTCGTGTCAGAGGGAGGGAGGAAAGGCAGGAGGAGCCAGCGAGAAACAAGCAAAATATTATCTTTGCACGCACGAGAATGGCATCCTTTCCCCAACTCCTTAGGCAAATCATGTTGGGGTTTAAGAGGCCAGCAAAAGCAGCACTGGCAGGTATCTAAAAAGGACTTGAAGTTTCAGAGAGGACTTGGAAGATGGGCTTCCCACATATGCCCAACTTGGAGAAGAGAGTTGACAAGCAGAGCATATATGGTGACGGCAAGGAAACTGCTGGCCCAAGGTATATCAAGTGGGAGCCCTTCCAACTAGGTGAAAAAAAGACGGGGGCTGTCCTTGACCTTTAGCAGGTACAAACACAGCCTTCGGTTTAACATTTCAGGAGGAGAGATGCACTCGTGGGTCTCCAAATAGGGGAGGCACACAAGCAAGGGTTGCTCACCATACTTTTTGTGGACTTTTTTTTGGTCTGGGGGTGACTTTATGGTGCTGAAATAGGTCTTTGATATTGCATCAACAGCTGTAGAGGATTTCTGACAATTAGTAGCAGTGGGAGTCATATTTGGAGAGGAAGAAATGTCTGCAGAAAGGAGCAGCTTGGGTGCAGGGAGAGGTCATCAACTTAAAACAAAAGAGATAAACTTAAGGGCGAGTCTGTACTAGACCTGGGAAAACTTGGGCCCTCCAGGTGTTTTGGACTTCAACTCCCACCATTCCTAAGAGTCTCAGGCCCCTGAGGGGGAGGGGGGTAGAGAAAGGGCCTGAGGCTGTTAGGAATGGTGGGAGTTGAAGTCCAAAACACTTGGAGGGCCCAAGTTTGCCCAGGCCTGATTTATACTGTAGAATGAATGCAGCTTGACACTAATTTAACTGCCATGGCTCAATGCTGTGCAGTCACTGAAGGTCCTTTGCGTTCTCTGCCAAAGAGTGCTGGTGCCTCACCAAGTTACAACTCCCAGGATTCCATGACGGTTAAAGTGGCTAATCTGCACTCTTTCTACAGTGTAGATCAGCATTTCCCAACCTAGGGGTCAGGACCCCTGGGAGGGTTGTGAGGGGGGTCGCCAAAGACCATCAGAAAACACAGCATTTTCTGTTGATCATGGGGATTCTGTGTTGGAAGGTTGGCCCAATTCTATTGTTGGCGGAGTTCAGAATGCTCTTTGATTGTGGGTGAACTATAAATCCCAACAACTGCAACTACCAAATGGCAAGGTCTATTTTCCCCAAACTCCACCAGTGTTCAGATTTGGGCATATTGTGGATTTGTGCCAAGTTTGGTCGAGATCCATCATTGTTTGAGTCCATAGTGCACTCTGGATGTGGGTGACCTACAACTCCAAAACTCAGTGTCAATACCACCAAACCCTTCCAGTATTTTCTGTTGGCCATGGGAGTTGTGCGCCAAGTTTGGTTTAATTCCATCATTGGTGGAGTTCAAAATGTTCTTTGGTTGTTGGTGAACTATAAATCCCAACAACTATAACTCCCAAATGACAAAATGAATCCCTCCCAACTCCACAAGTATCCAAATTTGGGCACATTGGGTATTTGTGCCAAATTTGGTCCAGTGAATGAAAATACACCCTGCATGTAAGATATTTACATGACGATTCATAACCGTAGCAAAATTACAGTTATGATGTAGCAACTAAAATAATGTTATGGTTGGGGGTCACCACAACATGAGGAACTATATGAAGGGATCTCAGCATTAGGAAGGTTGAGAGCCACTGGTGTGGATGCTCCCCAAGTCGTCCTGGCCCAGAAGGCGCGCGTGCGGGAAGTGCCTTACCCAGCCCTCCAGCCGGGCTCTTGTCAATCTTTATCCCTCGCTCTTCTTTGCTCGGCGCCCGGAAAAAAGTCTGCCACAGACCTCCTTCTCGCCCAGCTTGGAAAACAAGGAAGCCCCCGACCTGGTTTCCCGGGAGCATCCCCTCCCCAAAGCTCCGCCCGGCCTCTCTCCCCCCTCCCCAACGGAGCCACTCTGCCTCCACCGCCTTTGCCCAACTTCATGGTTTGCTTGGGAAACTGGGAAGTGGAGAGAAAGACCCTTGGAAGGCTCCACGCCTGCCTGCCCTCCCCACGAAGGAGCAAACCTTCTCCCTCCCTGCCTCCCTCCCTCTCTCTCGGCACTCCCCGCCCCACCTGACTCGCCTTCTCTGTCCAAACCACCGCTAAGCAAACATCCCAGCGCCTTAAACCAACTCCGGCTTCGTTTTCCGCCCGCGGAGCAAGAGGACGCGCAGGACTCACCCCCAGCCTCGCGAGGCTGCTCTGTCGCTCATCCCTTCCCCGCTTTGGGCGCCTCCGAGAGACGGGACGGGCGAAGAGAGAGAGAGAGAGAGAGAGAGAGGCAGGAGCAGAAGTCGCAGCAGTAGCAGGAGGAGGAGCAGTGGCGTTGGTGGCACGAGTGGGGGACCGGGTGGCTGGGGGTCAGGTTACTGCTCTGACTTGTCTCCCGGAGGGGGAGAGAGAGAAAGAGAGAGAGAGGGGGGGGGCGGCGCGGAGACCCCATCAAGTTAGAGTCCAGCTCTGCATTAAAGTTTCCCTGCCTTGAGAGATGTTGGAATCTGAGCGCAACTGTGGCCCAGAGGAGTGGGAGCGACTTTCTGTCCTCAGCAAGCCCTGCTCTGTCCTTGCAGACTCGGGGCCAGGTCTTCCTTGAGTGAGCCTGTCCACTTGCAATGCCACTTTCCTCCTTTCCAACGGCCAAGCATTAGTCCAGTGGTTCTCAACCTTCCTAATGCCCCTTAATACAGTTCCTCATGTTGTGTTGACACCCAACCACAGGCATGTAGCGGGGGGGGGGGGGGGGCTTGAGGGGCTTCAACCCCCCCCCCCGAAATTCTCATGGTGGTTCGCGAAAAGGCCTTACTGGTGCATTATTTAAACTGTTATGTTTATTCATATCATGATCTGATCACCATACTCAATATATCCCATATGCATGGGGGTATTGGGGTAATGATACAAAAGGTTTGCTAGGGTAGACCCTCTTTCACTCAGACTCAGCCCCCCCCCGAAACTCAGCCCCCCCGAACCCCCCCTGAAAAAAACTCAGCCCCCCCCCCAATCGAAATCCTGGCTACGGGCCTGCCCAACCATAAAATTATTTCCATTGCTACTGTAATTTTGCAACGGTTATGTATAGTCATATGAATATCTGATATGCAGGATGTATTTTCATTCACTGGACCAAATTTGCCACACATGCCCGATATGCCCAAATTTGAATACTGGTGGGGTTGGGGGGGTTGATTTTGTCACTTGGGAGTTGTAGTTGCTGGGATTTATAGTTCTCCTACAATCAAAGAGCATTCTGAACTCCACCAACAATGGAATTGAACCAAACTTGGCACACAGAACTCCCATGACCAAAAGGGTTTGGTGGGCATTGACCTTGAGTTTTGGAGTTGTAGTTCACCTACATCCAGAGAGCACTGTGGACTCAAACAATGATGGATCTGGACCAAACTTGGCACGAATACTCAATATGCCCAAATGTGAACACTAGTAGAGTTTGGGGGAAATAGACCTTGACATTTGGGAGTTGTAGTTGCTGGGATGTATAGTTCACCTACAATCAAAGAATATTCTGAATCTCACCAACGATAGAATTGGGCCAGACTTCCCACACAGAATCCCCATGACCAACAGAAAATACTGTGTTTTCTGATGGTCTTTGGCGACCCCTCTGACACACCCTCATGACCCCCGTCGGGGTCCTGACTCCCAGGTTGAGAACCACTGCATTCATTTTTTCCACTCAATCCTCTCTTCTCATGACATGGCCAAAGTATGATAGCCTTAAGTTTAATTATCTTGTATATCAACAGTTTGACAGCACAGAAATGCTGGACTATTCTATAATCTTTTCTACTCAATTATTTATTTATTTATTTATTTTGTATCAAAAGCATTGCATAAATTAGTATAAAACTAATAAAAATAGAAGGAGCACAGTTGGCTAAATATCTTTTGACCAAAAACAGGCAATAGCAATGCATTGTCTGTAGCCTCCAACAATTCTTCCTCTGTACATGAGGCAGGACATAGTGGACAAGCATACAGATGCAGAGTTGTCTGTTCTTCTCCACAGTCAAATAAGGTGTGGGATTCCTTTAGGTAGTGCCATTTTGCCAGATTGTCTTTTGATCTGACCACTCCGCTTCTGAGTCTGTTCTGGGACTTCAAAGTTGCCCATTCTTGGTTTGCCCCTGGAGGAAGACCCTCATGGGGGGCCATCCAGTTGGGATTTCCTGGTCTAGCTGTCCAGAGGGATACCCTTGCTGTTGCTGGGGGATGCCAAAAGGAGTGGTAATTCTCATACAGCTTTCTCTTGATTTGAGTCTACTGGGAGGATACTGGTAGCCATGTAGTGGGTGGCTTTCACAGTGTTCAAACTTATTTCTCTAACGGGTTGTTGTAGGTTTTTTTGGGCTATATGGCCATGGTCTAGAGGCATTCTCTTCTGACGTTTCGCCTGCATCTATGGCAAGCATCCTCAGAGGTAGTGAGGATGCTTGCCATAGATGCAGGTGAAACGTCAGGAGAGAATGCCTCTAGACCATGGCCATATAGCCTGAAAAAACCTACAACAACCCAGTGATTCCGGCCATGAAAGCCTTCGACAATACATTATTTTTCTAACATTTAGCAGCAACTTCTGGTCGCAGTCTCTTCTCATGACATGGTCAGAGTATGATAGCCCTAAGGTTAATTATCTTGTATGTCAACAGTTTGACAACACAGAAATGCTAGACTACTCTATAGCCTTTTCTACTCAATCATCTCTTCTCATGGCATGGTTAAAGTATGAAAGCCTTAAGTTTAATTATTTTGTATATCAGTGGTTCTTAACCTTTCTAATGCCATGGCCCCTTAATACAGTTCCTCATGTTGTGGTGACCCCCAACCATAACGTTATTTTTATTGCTACTTCACAACTGTAATTTTGCTACTGTTATAAATCATAACATAAATATCTGATCTGCAGGATGTATTCTCATTCAATGGACCAAATTTGGTACAAATACCCGATATGACCAAATCTGAATACTGGTGGGACAGAGCAGGTATTGATTTTGTCATTTGGTAGTTGCAGTTCCTGGGGTTTATAGTTCACCTACAATCAAAGACCATTCTGAACTCCACCAATGATGGAATCAAACCAAATTTGGCACACAGAACTCCCATTACCAACAGAAAATACTGAAAGGGTTTGGTGGGTATTGACCTTGAGTTTGGGAACTGTAGTTCACCTACATCTAGATATCACAGTGGACTCAAACAATGATGGATCTGGACCAAACTTGGCACAAATAACCAATACACCCAAATTTGAATACTGGTGGGAATGGGGGGGGGGATTGATTTTGTCATTTGGGAGTTGTAGTTACTGGGATTTATTGTTAACCTACAATCAAAGAGCATTACCAGCGATGGATTTGAACCAAACTTGGCACACAGCACTCCCATGACCAAATGAAAGTACTAGAACGGTTTGGTGGGCATGGACCTTGAGTTTGGGAGTTGTAGTTCACTTAAATCCAGTGTGGACTCAAACAATGATGGATCAGGACCAAACTTGGTGTGAATGTTCAGTATGCCTAAATGTGAACACTGGTGGAGTTTGGAGGAAATAGACCTTGATATTTGGGAGTTGTAGTTACTGGGATTTATAGTTCACCTACAGTTAGCTGTCAGAGCTCTTCTGGCAGGTTATTCCACAGTCCTGTAGTGGCTGATGAAAAGGTCCTCTGGGTTACAATCACCAGTTTGTTCTGGCTGGTTGGAGTAGCCACCCCACAGAGGACCTCAATGTGTGGAGCAGATTGTACAGGAGAAAGCAATTCTGTAGGTAGCCTGAACCCAAACTATGTAGGCTTCCACTTCGTTATCTGGGATGTCAACAACTCTGCTGAATTCTTGCAGACACAGGGCCACTGCTTCCTTGATCGAGTCTATCCATTTGTTATGCCCTGTTTTTTCCCCCCCCTATGGTCAAGAATTAATCTTTTCTATGTAATCATCTCTTCTCATGATACAGCCATGGTATGATAGCCTCAGCTTAGTAATAGTGGCTATTAGAGAATGTTTCGGTCTATATTTGTGGTTCTCTGAACTTCAGTGAGTACTGTGGGTACATTTGGATGACTCTCTTATTGGCTTCAAACCCTACTCAGATTAGTTTTCCCATTTCAGAAAGACTGCCTGTACCATGAGTCTGTTTCCACTGAAATCCTGCGATTCACCAATGACTTGACTGGGTTTCCTTCATCTGGGCCTTTTCTTATTAAAATTGTCATTGTCAGATACAGTTCCTGGATAGCTGACCATTGTACTAGATGTCACTCATGCTTCTTTCCAGCTCTAAGACTATATGATTCTGTGATCCTAAACTGAAGTCAAAGTATGTCTGATTACATTCCTTGCATTCTTCTTTTGGTACTGAACTTTGTAAATTCTTATATTCTCTTCTCTTAGCTTTCCACTTGTGCTTTCCCTTCTTTTTCTAGTCAAATGGATGAGATTAAAATATATAGCGATGACACTATATCAATGAAAATAACAACTAAAATCACTGGGTGTGCTACATTTAAACATGAATGCATAGCAAACCACAGTAACTTTAAAAAACTTCTATGAAAAGAGGATAAAAGGAGAAACTACAATTGTGAAGAAATTATGTGATATTGAGAATTGTGCCAGTTGGATTCTTTTTCTGCACAGCTTGCATTTTTATGTGCTTGAAAAATTTATTTTTTATAGTGTGTTCCATCAATTTATATTGAACTGTAGTTCCCCTGTGCCACTTCATTTTTAAAATCAATGTTATATTAATGATTCTCTAATCTTCTGGTCTAGAGACTGATTTTAGGAACAAGTTACATATTCTAGTTAAAAGACCCTCTATTCCACATCTGTGTTTTTAAAAAATGCCCTTCTGGACCCGATGATTTGTTTATTTGGGGTTTTGTACACTCTTCCAGAGTGAAAGCACACTCCTTCCAGATGAAAGTCAGAAGTAGTAACTTGTCGTGCCCTAATCCCATC